TCAAGGTTGTTTACACCTCTAGTAAGGCATTAACATTAAGATAGTTGGGAACTCCCTGGAAGAATGTCACACATGTCCCACCCAGGAGTGGGGGGTGGGGGGAGGTTGCAGGCTGTCGGCTGACGCTTTGTCTTCAGCCAGCCTTCTGTTCCCTCATCAGACATGGCCACACAGCTAACTGAGGAGAGCAAATATGGAACAGCCAGACCCCCTGACTCCCAGACCATTATTTCTCTTTTCCCTTAACCTTGCTGAACAGAAGGAAATTGGTGCCATCTGTGTGGGCCTAAAGAACTGCTCATTCAGTAAATAATGAGCAGGTGTATAAATATTTTATATGCTGCATATCATTTTAGACACGGGAACTTGTACACTACACAGAACGGAGCTGGCCACGAACGGGGGAGTGAGTGGAGTAAACCAACGATCAGGACCCCGGGACAGAAGTGTGCTGGGGGAGGAAGGCCAGGGCAGATGGATGCTGGGGAGAGTCTTAAACCTGGCCTGGGGGTTAGGAAAAACTTCCTGGCAGAGCTCCTGGGCAGAACGTTGACGAGCTGGGGCTGCTGGACTGGAGGGCTGTCACTGTGTGCAGAAGCAGGCACTGGAGATAAAGAGTGTGGCACTTTTGGAAAAACTCCAAGTATTATCATCCAGGCCACCAACTGTGGCCTGGGGGTGTGGATCCTCTCCTGGGAGATGAAGCTGGGAGTGGAAGGAGGTCAACAGAAGTAGGCCTGTTAAGGGCTTAGAGTTTGTGCTGTAAACAAGCAATGGTGAGCTGCTAGGGGTAGGTGGGGGGAGTGGTGATCAGACTTCCATTTTTAAACCATCACCCTGAAGTGCTTTGGAGAAGAGAGGGTCTGGGGGACATGAGGCAGGGGAACTTGAGGAGAAAAGGTGAGTTATGACACTGCTGTTATCCTCTGCCTAAGTTCATTGTGAAGGCCTGAATAGAGAGCAGTAGAAATAGAAAGAATGAATGGATTCCAGAAATGTTCCTATAAAATCAACCGACCCTAAATGACTGATTAGATGTAGGCGAAGGGTCAGATCTGGGTTGAAGAAGTTGAAGATGTTGAATTTGAAGTGCCTGTGGAATATTCAGTTGGAAATCCAGAGCCACTGGATAATTGAATCCAGATTTCAGGGAAGATCTGGCTGCAGATGTATGTGTGGGAATCATCTGATACAGGTGCTAGCTGAAGCCAGGGCTGTGGGAGAAGTACCCGCATGAGAGGGACTGTGGATGTGGAAAAGGGAGCAGATGGTGGACCCCTGGGAACACCACAGTTGACAGGGGTGGTGGGACAAAAAAAAAAAAAACAAACAGGCAAGACCAGAGAATATTGTATCACTTAAGCCAAGGAGGGGGCATTGGTCAGCAGTATGAATCCCCACAGCTCAGGTGAGACAAGGATTGAGCAAGCTAGCAGCTTTCTGCAACATCAAATCTAAACTTCCCCTAATGCCATGGCACCCCACTCGTGGCCTTATTACGCCCCAACAGCCCCTCTGCTTATGGACCCACAAAGAAGCCACTGCATTCCCTCACTCATATTCACCCCTCTCCCAGAATGCCCTGCTCCTCACCCCTTCACGTGTCTTAGCCCCAGCATGCCCCAAATGCTCTGCTCTGGAGACTTGTTTGTATTTCACTCTACTTAACACCCAATTATATGCAGTCTGGTGGTATTGGCTATAGATTCATGAAGTGTGAATCTTCTTGTAGGCTCTTTGAGGTAAGGGTCTTATTTTTTTTCTTCCTTCGTGGCCTTTGTAGTCTGCGGTATCGTTGAGCAGACTGTCTTTGCTCTGGAAGAGCTCTCTGGTTGATCCAAATAGGACTTGAGCTTAGCCAGTTCATGAGAATTCTTCAAGAAGATGACCTTTTGGCTGTCTCAGCAGAAGAGCTGGAGCATACCCTGTGCACAAGACATCATTCTAAGGTAACATCTTGGTTGACTGATGGCCACATCAGCTCAGGGAGGAGTGCATGGGGACAGAGGCCAGGAATGAAGGGGAGACCCTTACTCAGAGCCAGCACCAGGATGGTTGGAGATGTGTGCCTGCACCAACATCATGAGGCCAATATGTAGTTTCCTCCCAGACAGGCTCTCAAACTTGACAGCTGGCCCTTTGAAGCCTATTTCTAGAAGCACAGCACACTCTGGCCCAGTGAAAGTAGTGCTGTCTATGGGGGTGACCACTGGACAGTAGTTTCTGAAGTTAATGATACAAAAATTACACCCTATCACCACTGCTGTGGCTGTGGTGGCTGCTCTCAGATGAAGGGAAGATTTTATGGCAGGGGAAGGGGCAGTTGCTAAGCACAGGACAAAAAAAGAATCCCTTCTCTTTCTGAGCATTAGTTTAGAATTTTTCATGACCTGCCCTTCCAAAGAGGAATTTAGATCCTTTTCACCCACAGATAGATGACCTAGATCTTGGTAGCATTCTCATCACTGACAGAGATGAGGGATTGTATCTTGAGTCAGAGGCCATTATGGTAGTGCCGCAGCAACAACCAGGTCTCTCTGTGGGTATGGGGCTGCACACTCCAGAGGATGGAGTTATTAAGGAGACCCTGAGGCTGGTGTGGCGGCATTTTAAAGATCCTTGGAAAAGAAATCCTCATTTGCAGGAGAAATAATGATTCTGCCAATTTTTTTTCCTGTGCATCCTTTCCTTTGAAGCAACCTCTCCTTGTTTATTTTCTGTAAGTATGAGAGACGTAGAAATAATTTTCTGAAAAGAACTTGTCCCCATAAAGCCATGAGGTGAGGCTGGTAATATGAAGACTGGAGGAACTCTTGGGGTCAGAGCTCTGCAGACGGGGCTTTCTGGAAAATGACAATAAAGCAGCATCATGATCTGTCCTTTCTCCCTCAGAACAGACAGATGCCAGTTGCTTCCCAGGTCTGCATCGTGCTCGGTTCCAACCATTAGGCAACCAAAACCCAAGTTTTCAGTCCTTAGAAATTCGCTTGTGTTACTGGTTTGTAAGAACTTGCTATTGTCCTAGACACCCTATTTTGAGGAGACAAACATGAGCAGAAATCGTGCAGTCATGTGTTATTTAACTTTGGATGTGGAATTGTCTCTAACTGGTTTGGTCACCCAGAGATGATGGAAACACCCTTGATCTTAGATGGCAATGCTATGGTGGGGCCTACCCGGGAGTATCATTAGGGATTCTTTCCTCTACAGTTCATATCCCCCAGTGACTCACCTCTGTTTCTCCCAACCACAAAATCACACCAATATTTCTGTCTGATTTCCTCTCCACTTCACAAGAGATGTGCCTATATCTAAAGAATAGAGCTCTTTAATTCCCCAGAGCTCCAACAAAGCCCAGCTCCCCCAAGCCACATGCTTCTCGGCCAGTAGCCACAGGACAACTTGAAACATTGTCCCGTGTCCCAGGCCCAGTCATGCAGTGGGTCCACTTGATTCTGGGGCCAGCATATTCTACCTGTTCCCACCTTCCCGTCCCTTTCCCTTACCCCTGCTGTGCTCTGTCACTAACAACCACAGGAGGTCAATTGGAGGAGTCTCCATCTAGAACTCAACTCCCAGGCTCTTGGATTCCCCCTGCTGGCTGACAGCGGAAGCACTGCTTAACTTTTTCTCTTTTTCTGTTTTAAAAAATTAAGGTATTCTGATGACTGTTTTCTTTCTCTCAACCCCCCCCTTTTTGCCCTTCTGACTCCATAATCCTTAGTAAGCATTTTATACTTTAGAGTCTCGCATTTAACTATCACAACCACTCATACAGTATGTAGAATTATTACTCCCATTTTACAGATGAAGAAACTGAAGCCTAGATAGCTCTGTAACTTGCCCAAGGTTACCCAGGAAGTGGTCCTAAACCAAGGACTGAGTCCACATCTCCCTGAACTTTTTTTCCCATCTTATTAATTTTCATGCCCTGCATTTTAGACCTGATATTTTTTCCTTTTCAATATTAAGAAATGTGAGTAGGAAGATTAAATTTTCTTCACTAAAATTAGTAATGCCTTGAGAAGCACTTGCTGTATCTCTCCCAGCAGAAGGGCTCTGAAGCGAGGGGGCCATTTAGATAAAACAATCAAGTTTTGAACTTTTCTGAAGAAAAGAGGCTGGGAAATACGAAGTACAGAAGGTAGCTGTATATATGCTGAAAATCCATTTCTTTACCCAAGAAATTCACATGAAAATTTGCAGCAGCTATCTTGTGAAATTTTTTATGAAATAACTGCTGTGCTCATCTGGCTCATCTGTATCATGTAAAAATTCCAAGTGTAGGGTAAGTAAGCATTTTTGAGGTCTGAAATTTATTGAGTACTGATTTAGGTACCCAGGAGAGACAAATCCAAAACTACTTACCTTCCAGAGCATAATTTAAAAAGAAAATAAAACCAATCTTTACAATTAGATTTTATGTTAAGTTTAGGCCATGTGTTAATTTTAACTGTTAAAGTATTTCTCAGAATATGTATTGGTCTTTACCAACCAAATTCATGACTCATTTGCCTGTCTTTCCTTTGAAGTTCAAGTTAACTATTGCTTATCTCAGAATTTCAAGTTACTGGTGAACTTAGTGGCTATTTTAAGATTAGGTGCTCAAGAAATGTAGGCTATCGTTAGTACCATCAATATAATTTTTATATTTCCATATAATATCTCATACTACTAGAGCCTGATGACTACATTGTAATAACATCTAGGAAACTTCAAAGCCTCTAAAGGCACCGTTACTTACCCTGTGGCTGTCATTACATCTTACTAGATAGGACTTTGCTTCACACCGCCCTGGGTAGCAGAGACGAAACCAGAACCTTCAGGTGGGAAGGGATCTTGGTCCAACAATTGAGTACCGATGAGACAAAGATGAGGCTCAGAGAAGCTGTCTGCGGCTCCCGGGCTCCCACTAGAAGCACCAAGCAGCCCCACAGCCCTTGCCGCCGCGCCTCCGAGCGCCTGCCCGCGGTGTGCCGATTCTCCTGTGTTCTCTGCAGGTCGCCCCGCCGTCCGCCGCGCCGGCAGGCATGACGACCGCCATCTTGGAGCGCCTGAGCACGCTGTCGGTGAGCGGGCAGCAGCTGCGCCGCCTGCCCAAGCTCCTGGAGGACGGCCTTCCCAAGATGCCCTGCACCGTCCCCGAGACCGACGTGCCCCAGCTCTTCCGGGAGCCCTACATCCACACCGGCTACCGCCCCACGGGCCACGAGTGGCGCTACTACTTCTTCAGCCTCTTTCAGAAGCACAACGAGGTGGTCAACGTGTGGACCCACTTGCTGGCCGCCCTGGCCGTGCTCCTGCGATTCTGGGCCTTCGCCGAGGCCGAGGCCTTGCCGTGGGCCTCCACGCGCTCGCTGCCCCTGCTCCTCTTCATCCTGTCGTCGATCACTTACCTCACGTGCAGCCTTCTGGCCCACCTGCTGCAGTCCAAGTCGGAGCTCTCGCACTACACCTTCTACTTTGTGGACTACGTGGGCGTGAGCGTCTACCAGTACGGCAGTGCCTTGGCGCACTTCTTCTACAGCTCCGACCAGGCCTGGTACGAGCTGTTCTGGCTCTTCTTCTTGCCGGCAGCTGCCTTCTGCGGCTGGTTGTCTTGCGCTGGCTGTTGCTATGCCAAGTACCGCTACCGCAGGCCTTACCCGGTCATGAGGAAGATCTGTCAAGTGGTGCCGGCGGGGCTGGCCTTCGTCCTAGACATCAGCCCCGTGGCACACCGCGTGGCCCTGTGCCACCTGGCTGGGTGCCAGGAGCAGGCGGCCTGGTACCACACCCTCCAGATCCTCTTCTTCTTGGTCAGCGCCTACTTCTTCTCCTGCCCGGTTCCTGAGAAGTACTTCCCGGGTTCCTGTGACATTGTGGGCCATGGGCATCAGATCTTCCACGCCTTTCTGTCTGTCTGTACGCTCTCCCAGCTGGAGGCCATCCTTCTGGACTACCAAGGGCGGCAGGAGATCTTTCTGCAGCGCCATGGCCCCCTGTCTGTCTACATGGCCTGTCTTTCTTTCTTCTTCTTGGCGGCCTGCAGCGCTGCCACTGCAGCCCTTCTGAGACACAAAGTCAAGGCCAGACTGACAAAGAAAGATTCCTGAGACTGGCAGGTGGGGTGAGGTGTGGAGGCAGGCTGTCGTGATTTGGGGAAAACTCAGTACAACAATGGGAGTTGACTTTTTGTTTTTAAGAGTTGCTTTTAAATTAACACGTTTCCAAGGGTATGCTATGGAATTGGAAAGCCAAAGGATTCAAGAATTTTGTTGTTAATAGTTGTTGCTAATAAAAGGAGTATTACTTTTCCCTCTGTGTCATAGCCTTACAAGATACAGGAAAGGAAGGGACATTGGCTAGGATTCAAAGGACACTGAACTAAGGACGATCTTTCTGCCTGAAAATTTAGTGGAATTCTGACTTTGGCCTGCAGGGGCAAGTCCTGGAGCTAAAGGGATAACAAAGTTGGACTGGAAAGTAAGTACGTGGCTAGTCCACACCGTATTGGAATGACCATCCTACTATATTGGTTTTTGGTAATTGAGTAAACTGACCCAAGAACTTGATTTCATTTGGATTTCAGATGATCCAGGGTGGAGAAGTCAGAATCTTCAAGATGATTCAGTGAAACCCTTAGACATAATGAATTACTCGGTTCATCTGAGTTCTGGTCCCTTCTGTCTTGCCCACTCTGACACTGACCCTTTTCTCGGGATGACGTCTGCCTGGCTGTTTTCTCTACTCCCATCTGTACCTTGCATGGTAATATAGAGGACTATGAAGTCGTCATATTTCCAGGAAATGCTTGGATCTATGTGGACATTCAGGAAGCTTATTTTCACATACTACTACATGGTACTAGAAAGTACAGTGCCAAGAGCCATCAGGAGGCCCAGCCAACAAGTGTGGATACTGTTTTGTGTCATGAGACCCTTCTGTTTTATACCTGTGGACTGCAGTACTTGAGATCAATCAGGGCTGCCTTACAGGCCAGAAAATCTGGGGCTTGTGCTAGGGAGTTTTCTCCAGATTCGGAGGAGCATGTTTAAAAACAAACAAAACAAACAAACAAAAAAACCCTAATAGAGTGAATTGGTTCTGGTCCTTCTAGGGATCTGATTATTTCAAGAGGATCCCAAGGTCCAGCCTCTTAACTAGATGCTGCCATGTAAAGGACCCACATAATTACCCTAGTTCGGGCTCCTCAGGCAGGAGGTTATGCCCCAACTTAGAGCTGAATCCTTAAAATAATCAAGCCCCAGAACAGATGAGCATGTGTGATCATTGTGGGTTGGTCCCTGAAGGCTCCTTTGGGTAAGAATGGTGAACCAGATACCCTGTAGCTAGAATTTTCTGTTGCCCAGTAGCTTGTGTGGGATAAGTGGTACTTGTGATTGATGTGTTCTGGTCACACAGCCCTCTCTCAGGACCGATTTTATGTACTAATCCAGTGAAGGGGGCTGTGTTGATGGAGGAGCCATGGAAGTCTTCTCAGAGGCTATGTTTCCTATCAGTATAAGATCCCTTTTACTACAAAGAGAAGTACTTTGTTTTCACTCCAATTTGATGAATTTCTTCTATTAATAGGTTATTTTATCTTCAGGTCTTTGTTTTCTTCCTTTCTCTGAGCGATTTGTGGATTTTGTGCCTTATAAATGGAAACATACGAACACTTAATAGATGGCCATGTGGAATTTTCAGTTTTGGGTTATTGGGATAAGAAAAAAAAGAATGCATTGCTTTTGAACCAGTGGGTGAAAGAAACTTCAGAAAACCAGAATTACTTATAAATCAAAGGCACTGTCAACCAAAACAAACAAACAAACAAAGACGCTATCAGTTTGCATTTGGCAAAACAAAATAAAACAAAAAAAACAGAGCCTCAACTGAAGCTTTCCTATAATCTTCATGTCAAGAAAGCATATGTCTTGTCTGCTACATGGATTTCCTAGATGGATTTCTCTGTTAATCCTTAAATACCTGAACTTCTGTGCTACCCAAGTGTCTTACATAAGCTTCTGGTGTCTAGGCCAAAATCGTCACAAATAAAGTTGGCAAAACTGAAGCCAGTTGAACTAAACAAGGGAATGGGGGAGTTGTACAAACACATTGCAAGAAGAGGGTCAGTTTAAAACGGGGACTAGAAAATGTTTGAAATGTTCATTTTTATGGATTCAAAGACCGTATTCTTCTAAAAGTTGGGAGGAAAGTGTAAGTCAGGCTTTTGAATATGGTGGTGGTCCTGCTGGACGGAGATCTTCAGGCCAAATGCAGGTATTTTTTAGAAAATAAGAAATAGGGCAGCAACAGCGATCTTTAAATGTAGTCAACAGACCATGGTCAGCTGACCCACTCTAAACGGTCTGTGACAAGTTCAGATAGGTGAAACTCTTTAAGATATTGCCATGAAATTATTACTCTAATTTACACCATGTATTGGTCCCTCAAGTGATAGGAAATTTTTAAAAAATAGTTTTTCACCAGAGATATTTGAGAGCACTGGGGACTAGGTATCGAATTAAAATACTGGTGTCATAAAAAACAAACAAACAAAATAATCAGTGTCTCATTAGAAATATATAAGCATAGGAAATGCAAATGTTTTAAGTTACTCAGACTTTTGAGGGACTAAATACTCCTTTTAGAACATTTTCATTAAAATGAGTGTATCAGCAAGGAACAGACCTAGTTTATTTAAAAGAAATAAGTATTTGATAAAGGAGATGATTGTTTTACTCCCCCATAGCCTCCCCTACAGTTGACATCTGGAAATTCTGCCAGTTCTCTCTCTATATTAAAACGTAAATGCCTCTGGAAAACCTAAACTATCAGTCATTTACATCTTGTGAATAAAAATTCTGATTGAGTTGTATGAGGCCCTACTCAGGGTAAGGGGATGGGGCATCAGGACGCAGCCGACTGGGGACATATTTGCCTATTTCCCTCTTGCCTAGTAATTTCTGACTTATATTTACTAATGAGCTAATGTCAGTACTCCTCAGGTGTTAAAGTTTCATTTCCCACCTCGGCTAAAAGCACTTCACTGAATAACAATATTCTCAGTCCTCTATTGGAAGCCTGAAATAGTAGGAGCTGAGTTTGTGGAATGAAGGTAGCTCATTCCTGACTCCTATCCACAAATGGTACCTTAATACTTAGCAGGTTCTTCAGATGCTGCACTGTAGGTTCAAGTGGACCCTCCAGATGGCGCTCACGTCTTACTCAGCGTGGCTATTGTAGCCAAGTCTTTGGGCTATTAATTGTATGGGTCCTAGTGTTTTGCTTGATTGCTTGGCAAAGAAAAAATGGAACTATTTTAATATAAATCTACTTACACGAATGACCATTAAACAGATTTTGTATATATGGATTGTTGTACCGTCAACAACTATCTTGTTTCTTTGACAAGGCCTACCTTAAAAGGTTTTATCTAGACAAACATTGCCAGGAGGAGGAGGTCAGGACACTTTATATCCACCTAGAAGTAGGAAAGTAGAAAATCTTTAAAAATCTCCATACCCCAGCACCCCAAATATACACACACACCCTAAATCCCCACTTGTGAAAGGATCATATTGCCACCCCCACCCCACAAAAAGTATGGAGTTGATTTCTCTGAGGATTTCCATCTAATTGAATAAATACTTCTAGTTTCATGGGAAATAGTGTTAAATGTTTTCAAAATTTTGAATTGATGTACTACATTTTTAAAATACAAAACTTATGAATTATAATTGCACTATAATAGCTACCATAATGAATGTGTTGTGATATGTGGCACCTATCTACCAAAGGATTTTGTAGCCTGTTATATTTAATAGCTGTGAAGAAAAAAGTCATTCTCCAGACTGCTCCAGCTTCAAGCCATAGTACTGTCACAAGAGTGAGAAGACAACATTTGTCTGGCTTGAGGCACCACTGATAGAATTATGGATATCCCTCTTGCCCTAACCCTTTTTATGACCCACGGAGGCCATAGGCAGCTTGCAAATGCTTCTGTTGTCACTATTAATAGTTTAACCACTCTTCAGTTACTGATCCATCAAGTATTTATGAGCACCTATTGGTGGCAGGTACCCATGTTGGCTCTGGATATCCCACAGTGAGGAAAAGAAAGCAGGGACCCTTGCACAGAGAGTTTTCAGACTGCTGGGAACGAGCATCTTCCCATGTTGGGCCATCACAGCATCTCCCTCTAGGTCTTGGTCTCCTAGGGACAACCTGAGGGCCAGATGGCCAGCCAAACCCAGGGGAGGCTGGGACTTGCTCTGTACCAGAACATTTTTAAAAGGACTGAGATCTCTACCTTTGCCCCCCAGAGACTAGAAATATCTCTCCCACCAGTAAGGCTGTCACCTATGGTCAGACCTCAACACTTCTTGTTACTCCTGTTGCTTCTCTAGCCCTTTACGCTGTCCTCTAGTGTTTAATTCAGTCTCAGACACACTTTACACATCTGGACACAGAGTAGCCCTATATTTCCACAGGCAGTAAAGTCCCAGGTAATTAAAGCCCCATCCTTCAGAGAATGTAGGGTTCCAACCTGAGTACAAGTTCCTGATTTACTAAATTGGAAACAGCATGTTACGCTCTAGCTGTCTCCTTTAACAAAAAATAACCATCTTATCCCTTAAGGAACTTTTATTAAAATAATATGGAAGGACACACCGTCCTGCACGCCCGCGCCCTCTGCAACATGTTATGCGCCGCTGCGCTTGCCGCCGCTGGCCTCGGGCCCCGCCTGGGCCGCCGTCTCCTGTCGGCCACCACCACCCAGGTGGTGCCGGCCCCCAACCAGCAGCCTAAAGTCTTCTACAACCAGATCTTCATAAACAATGAGTGGCATGATGCTGTCAGCAAGAAAACATTCCCCACCATCAATCCATCCACCGGAGAAGTCATCTGTCAGGTAGCGGAAGGAGACAAGGAAGACGTGGACAGGGCAGTAAAGGCTGCCCGGGCCGCCTTCCAGCTGGGCTCACCCTGGCGCCGCATGGATGCGTCTGACAGGGGCCGCCTGCTGAACCGCCTGGCTGATCTGATTGAGCGGGACCGGACCTACCTAGCAGCCTTGGAGACCCTGGATAACGGCAAGGCCTATGTCATCTCCTACCTGGTGGATCTGGACATGGTTCTCAAATGCTTCCGTTATTACGCTGGCTGGGCTGATAAGTACCACGGGAAAACTATTCCCATCGATGGGGACTTCTTCAGCTATACCCGACATGAACCCGTCGGGATGTGTGGGCAGATCATTCCGTGGAACTTCCCGCTCCTGATGCAAGCCTGGAAACTCGGCCCAGCCCTGGCGACCGGAAATGTGGTTGTGATGAAGGTAGCTGAGCAGACTCCACTGACTGCCCTCTATGTGGCCAACCTGATTAAGGAGGCTGGCTTTCCCCCTGGCGTGGTCAATATTATTCCTGGATTTGGCCCCACAGCTGGGGCCGCCATCACCTCCCATGAGGATGTGGACAAAGTGGCCTTCACAGGCTCCACCGAGGTTGGCCGCCTAGTCCAGGTTGCCGCAGGGAGCAGTAACCTCAAGAGAGTGACCCTGGAGCTGGGGGGAAAGAGCCCCAATATCATCATGTCAGATGCAGATATGAACTGGGCTGTGGAGCAGGCCCACTTCGCCCTGTTCTTCAACCAGGGCCAGTGCTGCTGTGCGGGCTCCCGGACCTTTGTGCAAGAAGATGTGTACGCCGAGTTTGTGGAGAGGAGCGTTCCCCGGGCCAAGTCTCGTGTGGTCGGGAACCCCTTTGACAGCCAGACTGAGCAGGGGCCGCAGGTGGATGAAACTCAGTTTAAGAAGATCCTTGGTTATATCAAATCTGGGAAGGAGGAGGGGGCGAAGCTGCTGTGTGGTGGAGGGGCGGCTGCTGACCGTGGCTACTTCATCCAGCCCACCGTGTTCGGAGATGTGCAAGACAGCATGACTATCGCCAGGGAGGAGATCTTTGGGCCAGTGATGCAGATCCTGAAGTTCAAGACCATAGAGGAAGTCATTGGGAGAGCCAACAATTCCAACTATGGGCTGGCTGCAGCTGTCTTCACCAAGGACTTGGACAAGGCCAATTATCTGTCCCAAGCCCTCCAGGCTGGCACTGTGTGGGTCAACTGCTATGATGTGTTTGGGGCCCAGTCCCCATTCGGTGGCTACAAAATGTCCGGGAGCGGCCGGGAGCTAGGAGAGTATGGGCTGCAGGCATACACCGAAGTGAAAACCGTCACGGTCAAAGTGCCTCAGAAGAACTCCTGAAGAACTGTGCCGACTCCTGGCGGAGGTTGACATCAGCAGCAAAACCAAGAAAAATGACACTTGTACACTAGAAGTCTCGAAAGAGAAATTCTCTCACAAAATCTCTTGATCAAGAAAGTCTCAGGGGCTCCTGGGTGGCTCAGTTGGTTAAGCGACTGCCTTCGGCTCAGGTCATGATCCCGGAGTCCCGGGATCGAGTCCTGCATCGGGCTCCCTGCTCAGCGGGGAGTCTGCTTCTCCCTCTGACCCTCTTCCCTCTCGTGCTCTCTCTCTACCATTCTCTCTCTCTCTCAATAAATAAATAAATAAATAAAATCTTTTTAAAAAAATAATATGGAAGGAAATGCTTTGCAATAAAAGGAAAATTCATTTAAACATTAATTTTGAGAGCATATCTATCTAAGGTAAGGGCTTTTCTTACCTAACAGGATCTCATAGGAAGAGGTATGCACTGTATTTTAGATTCCAAGAGGCCTTGACCAACTCAAAGGCTACAGAGTAACACCTCAGATCTTATCGTGCATTATGCTTTCCAAAACATTTCCACATCCATTTAAGCTTCTAAATAATCATGTGAAGCAAGGCCAAAAAAATCTCCACTAAACTAGGAAACACCCTAGGAAAGTGGAATGATTGGTTCAAAGTCACATAACTCGTTGTAATGTTTAAACTCAAACACATTTTTCCTTCAGATAAATCCAAGGCTCAGCTAATCAGAAACATCAACACCCAAATATTTGCAGAGCCCTTTACAGTGTGTGAAGCACTTTTACTATTGTGCATACTTTAACCTAATCTCATTTTAACTTTTGTTCCTAAATACCTCATGAATAGCGAGGGTTGTATTGTTTCTTTGCAGGTTGAAGTGACTTACTTCACACTGTGTCCTTGGATGCCAAATAAAGCATTCTTTGCACCTCACAGTTTTCTTAGAGCCCAAAGGCAACAGGCCCAATTGGCGACAGGCCCTTGCTGGCCTAGAGTATAACATCAAATCTCACTCTCCAGTCACAGATTCTTGAAAATACTTTGATTCCTTGGATAAGAAATTCATCTGGGGGGCGCCTGGGTGGCTCAGTTGGTTAAGCGACTGCCTTCGGCTCAGGTCATGATCCTGGAGTCCCGGGATCGAGTCCCACATCGGACTCCCTGCTCGGCGGGGAGTCTGCTTCTCCCTCTGACCCTCTTCCCTCTCGTGCTCTCTATCTCTCATTCTCTCTCTCTCTCAAATAAATAAATAAAATCTTTAAAAAAAAAAAAAAAAAAAAAGAAATTCATCTGGTATTGATAATCTTGCCAGGGTTATGCAAACCCTCCCTCTCCTCTTTCACTAGGGATCGTCAGTTCTTCAAACAATCAGTTCTCCCAGGGATTTTGACATGTTGTATGACTTTGAATATGGGATTTAAAAAAAATTCTTCTCTGCCTTATAAGAGAGTTATAGACTTAGCAGAAAGTCCCCCAAGAGTCCTTATTTCTCATTTTCAAGTAATATATGCTAATTAAAGAAAATGCAGAAAAATAGGGAAAAAAAGATAATCCACGGGCCCATCACGAAAATAAACCTCTCCAGGGGAAAAATAAAGCTATAGTGAAATGTTATCAGTGATAGGTAAATTAGCTAGTGTCACATAAAATTATGCTTCCTGAAAAAAAAAAAAACAGAAATTGGGAACGAGAAATATTAAGCAATCTAATACTTTCATTCTATAAAGTACAAAATCAACGGTCTCTGGCTCGATTTACGGAAATACCAAGATAGTTACATTACACCCCCTTCTGACATTACACTACGTCGGTAATTTGATGATGCTATGGCTGAGATACTGGCTCATACGACAAAGCCGATGATACGTTATCTTGTGTTGAAAGAATTCTTTGAAATGCTTCTCCTGACTCAAGCCCTCTGAGAGTGCCCTGCTAGAAAGACCTTCACTGGAGGGGAGGCCTTGCCTGCTGAACGGGTGAGTATCCGGATTCACTGGCAGCCACTCCACAAACTCTGACCACCACTCGGTGCCAAGCCCTATTCTAGGAATACAGCAATGAACAAAACACACAAATCCTTGCCCTTGGGGGGCTTATATTCAGGGGCTGGAGGTAGGG